TTGTCTTTATTGATAAAATCTCGACAAAATTTTAACTTCAATCACTAGATAAAGAAGCAAATTGCAATTAAGAGAAATCCACATAGAAATTTATTGGTAGTAGAAGACATTAAATTTTACGATAGACTTGTCATCAATGATACAAAATTAATAAAGGTTGAGTGACTAAAATGAAATTGTTGTCAAAGTTAGGGGACCTCAGTGCTTTCCACCTTATGACTGTGTATCACTCGCGCACGCAGATATATATAAACGTACCCCTACGCATATTCAGAGGAAATCTAGAGAGAGGAAATGGAAGAGGAAGTGATGAAAATCGGTGAAGAAGTGACTGGGTCGAGCTTGACAATGGAAAAAGTCGCCGCTGCAAAACAGTACATCGAAAATCACTACAAGAATCAGATGAAAAGCATCCAAGAGCGCAAGGAGAGGTATAACTGTAATCATAAAATTAGAAACAAGCACACAAATGTTTATTTATGTATAATAATATGAGTTACAAATGTAGGGGGTAGTAGAGCAGTACATGAATTAATTCGATTCGTGAATTTGATTTCTGGTATAGAAATCCAGCACGTGCTTTGATTATTTATTTATTTATTTTGTTGTAGAGGTTCTTGATTTGTTCTCCTTATTCAGTAAATTTTAATGACTTTATTTGGGTTGCATGTGATTGAGTTAGTGGTGCAAGTGAAAGATTGTTGAATTTATATGAATTAAGATAAGGATAGAAGAATTTCTTTCTTATTTAGTTGAAGAAAGTCTAGTAATTAATTAGTTTAGTTTTGAACTCATAAATGACTGAATTTAAGTAGGGTTTTATGATAGTAAATTTTGTTGTAGTAACTTTATTTGAACGACCACAGATGATATTTCCGAGTTGAAGGTATTAGGTTTATGATGTGAAAGGAATGTGATAGGATAGATGATGTAAAGGAAAGTTTTGGGGGATATGATCGAGCAATGGTGTTAAGTTAGATTATGGAGGTCTTGCAAGACAAGATCAGCATTGGCCATAGTAAAATGTAGCAATTTCAACAATAGTTGAATTTGTTTTGCATCATTGAGGAAGAGTAGACTCCTAGCAGGATTTTTATTATTTCCCTGTCTTCCTGCAGTAGTGACAACAATCTTTTCCTTTTCTTTTGGTCTGTAACTCTGAACTCTTTGTTCAATCTATCCAAAGTTGACACGAAGAAAATCTTGATTGGAATAGGTTTTGAAGATGTCAATTTTTAGCAGATCATATTTTAGTTGGGCATTTAGGGTTGGTTGCTACTTTAGCAGGGTGAAAGTTCTAATGCTGATGGTAATAGTCCGAGTTGGATGATAGTAAAGAACCAATGATGAGCATCCGAGTGTTAGCTAATAAATGCACTTTTGTCATCACTCCTGAGGATATTTAAGTCATGGCTGATGACTTAAACAATGAGTATGATATCATTGGAAGGAAGCGTTAATTCCTTAAATTCAGTAGAAACCATATAAAGTAACCTAAATAAACACGAGTAGAAAAGCTTCAATGAAACATGTAATAGTTGTGAACATCTGTCATTAAGAGCATGTTTGGCTATGATTAGAAAGTGCACTCATAAGTGAATAAGTAAATTTTCAAATATTAAAAAATATATATAATTTAAAAAAAAAATAGCAAATTAAAAAATTTGACAGGTAGGTAAGAATTACTTTCAAATAATTAACTTATATGAGAAAAAGTATCCAAAAGTATTTAGAAACATAAAGTCACTTCGGAAGTAACTTTTAGTTTTACTTTTCAAGCTCACCAAACATGCTCTAAAAGCTCACTGCTCAGATCACTGGTTATTGTGCTTTGACATCCCAAAACCAAAGGCATAGCCAAGCCTTATTTCCATTAAAATTGTGATTTGCTACATGAATCTTTTTCTGGCCACTCCATACAATCCATCGAAGGTGTGTGTTACTTGATTTGAGAAATGATCAGGAACATGGGAGGGGAGCTACTTTTGTTTCTAGTCTACCGGATTGATGACAGATGCTAGTCCCCGTTTGGGCATCAATTGAACCATTTATTGATATGTAGTGAGCTCAAACTAAATCAATATGTGAAACAGAAGACCTGTAAGCCAGTGGCATTTAATTGCTTGGAGTAAAACAAAATAGTGACTTGTAATTCTAGTGGGTAAAGATGATGATGTTGGCTACATTAGACATTTGTTTATGCAGTTCATGCTAAACTGTGTTCAACACATGGAATGAGAGATGACATTTGCAGGGACTTCAGGGATCCAGATCCTCGGTGGATGTTCCCAGGGCAATTTTATAGTAAATAATCCTCAGACATGATTTTGCATCTGGAAATATGTTTTGTTTCTTATAAAAATTGTTCAATATTTATGAGATAAACAATGCTATATTTTATGTCAACTAACTTTATTTCATGAAACATACAATTGATTTAATAAACTATGATGCCAGATTATATTGTGCTTTGCTTTTGTCATTTGAAAGGTGTTGACGTTCTGAATACCTATTGACGAGGCATTTAAATTCTCCTAACTAGAGAGGAAAATGAGTGTCAAGCTAGTTCTTTTGCCCACTTTTGTATGTCGATCAGTGTCGCAGTTTTGTGAGTTAAATCTTGATATTTTTACACTATGCTTTTTACTCAAGGTGGTGGATTTTAGAATGAAAATTAGCAACTTCTGTGTACAGATCAATCTAATCGAGGTTATGAATTCTATGGGCACATATAAAGATGCTAATTTTCGTTACAATTGTGTGAGTAAATCTTGATATTTTACAGTTTTCATTCCAGGAGATGGATATTAGAACGAAAATTAGCATCTTCGGATGTTCCCAAAGAGGAACAGATCAATCTACTCAAGGATCTGGAGCGAAAAGAGACAGAGTTTATGCGACTAAGGAGGAACAAGATATGTGTAGATGATTTTGAGCTTTTAACCATTATTGGGAGAGGAGCCTTTGGTGAGGTTGATGATTTGCATCACAACTCTTTTCTTGAATCTCTTATGTTTATAAGTCTTGACATTCTTGAAATTATCCAAATGTTCTTGTTCATGTAATTTTTGAATTGTGATAATGTGAATCATATAGCTTAGAAATATAATCTAATTTACTGCCCTTTTTTTCTCATATTTTAAGTATGGCCATAAAGTCTTGTCATCAGTTGATGATAAGATGCTGATTATTTTATTGTGAACATTTCTGGTTCTACCCAATTTTTGTTGTCGATATTTCCAACTTTTCCTTGTTTTAATGTTAATTTCCTACTTCTCTACTCGACCTTTTACTTTGGCAGGTATTTGATGTTTTTAATGTATGCCTGCTTATTAATTTCAACGTTCCAGGTCCGATTATGTCGAGAAAAAAAATCAGGGAATATCTATGCCATGAAGAAATTGAAGAAATCTGAAATGCTTTCAAGAGGACAGGTCAGTGACAAATATTACTATATCAATGAAATGTTCAAAGCTTTTTTCCTACCAGCATTCGACCCAATGCTTTCTAGAAGATAGATAAGTGATTTTTATTTATTTATTTATTTTTTTTTGTGTTTGGGGGTGGGTAACAGTTGAGTGATGCCACTTGAGATAAAACGACCATGACCACTATCTGTTCTTATCTTGTGGTGTTGACCTGGAAATTAAATAATAGATGTGCTTCCAATTGTAGATATAATGAAAGGATATCAGTTGGTGATATTTAACCGCAATAGATGGAAGACATAATTTTGGCACACGGTATAAAGAATGAAGAGACTGAATAACTTCCAAACTTCTAGTACTTAAGATAAGGTGAAGCTGAAACTTCTTCATGAAAGGCACAGGGGTATTTGCTGAAGCTTATAGCATTAATGAAGCCAGTTTCGTGGGATGTATTGCTTTTATAAAAAATCAAATGGAATGTGTCCTATTCTTTCCCGTCAACTCTGTAGCTTACTCTTCATGTCTTCCAAGTATTCTTTCCTATTTCCTACGAAGTGTTCCTAAAAGAAAGAGAGAAATTGAAAATTTGGGTTGGAATTTTTCAGAGTGACTGAATATCATATTTGGAGTATGAATTGTTCAGTGAAACTTGCTCTATTTATGTGCAAAAATCCCTAAGGAGGAGGAGGAGGAGGAGGGGGGGGTCCCTAATTCAAAGACTAATAAACTTTTTACTACAATAAATTATACCTATTTTCTAACCTTATGCCAATATTGTGTATATTTGGAATTCAACCTCCATCAGTACCTCGGAAGAAAGATAACACCCCGAGCATCCCTTTCTTGTCCAATCGTTCATGATGAGTGGTTGAGGATTGATCTGGTTCCTTACAAACAATTGACAATTATTTTATTTCTCTCAATGTTTTAATGTTTGGAATGCAATCTAAAAAGTTTTAACCTGTAACAAGCTTTAGGTATCCATTTCTTGCATAGAATCTTGTGAGGACATGAGTGGGCTTGTGTGATTTCCTCTTTCTCAAATAGTGGTGCTTTGCTTTGCAGGTTGAACATGTTAGAGCAGAGAGGAACTTACTTGCAGAAGTGGCTAGCCACTGCATTGTAAAATTGTACTACTCTTTTCAAGATACTGAGTATCTGTATCTTATTATGGAATATCTCCCTGGTGGTGACGTGATGACCTTGCTGATGAGAGAAGACACACTATCTGAACATGTTGCTAAATTTTACATTGCTCAAAGTATCCTGGCAATTGAGTCCATTCATAAACATAATTATATTCACAGGTGAGTGTGTTTTCTGGCATTTCCGGATATCAATGTGTGTAATACCAAATTCACTTGTGAATCAGGTATTGTTCAATGTTGTGAACATTAATATTTTCTTGTTAATATCTTTTTTAATATTTCTTTTTTTTTTCCTTGTTTGTTCTCAGGGATATCAAACCTGACAACCTTCTTCTCGACATAAATGGTCACATGAAGCTTTCAGATTTTGGCCTTTGCAAGCCTCTTGATTGTAGAACTTTATCTACAGTAAATGAAAACGAGGCCTTGAGTGATGAGAATACAAGGGAACCGATGGAGATTGATGGACGCTTTCCAGATGCTGCCAATAGTACTCACTGGAGAAGCCCTCAAGAACAGCTTCAACATTGGCAGATGAATAGGAGGAAGTTGGTGAGAAATCAAAAAACATTCTAGAAATATTTTTTTTGTACATATACTGCAGGATTGAGTATTATGCTTATTCTTATGTGTGATTAATTCCCAAAAGATAAGGAAAAAATAACTATCTGGAAATTGGAATCTAATTGCTTAATGAGATGGGTGTTTATGATATACATGAAATATGAGGCCTTTTTTGTTAATGTTCTTGACATTTAGCACCATTCTGAAATTATGAATGCTTATAGTATTCTGTTAAGTATTTTCCAAAAGTATGCTAATTCGATCGACTTTTCCTCTTAACCTGAAGTTGAAGTCTTTAAATTGAAATTATCGGCCAAATCATGTGTATAATATAATCCCACGTTATAGTTTTCACTAATTTGAGATGATTGAATATTATGTGGTTATGTGAAGAGAAACGACTCTTGATTTCTGGGAGATCATATCTTAGCGTGGATTGTTACGATTGCCAAAAAAATTTCTTTTATTCCAATGGAAAATACTGAATAATAGGGGCATCCCCCTATTATATATTGATCAAAAGTCACATAATAACATCTATGCAAAGAGAAGCTTGGCAACTCAAATTGACTTGGAGACTATAAAGTGAATCATTTACCACTTCACTGTTTTTGTTGGTGGCATTAACTGAAAACCTTTTAAGTCATACCTTTGGGACTTTCAATTTGTTCCTATAAATTTCAAGTGCTACTTTCCATCCCCACATTCTTTTAGTTTAGACCAGTGGCGTACATCTGCCATTGATAAGATTGAGGGATGGTACTATCTAATATACCGTACTTTTTGATTGCTCGAGTAATTATCTTCTTCTTTTGTTGTTATCTTTCAAAAGGCCTTTTCAACTGTCGGTACGCCAGACTATATTGCTCCTGAAGTGCTATTGAAGAAAGGATATGGCATGGAGTGTGACTGGTGAGTCTGTTCTTTTGTCTTTTCCTTTTAATTATTCATTTTTCCTATCATTCCTGTGATAGATCAGATAACTAATATCGATATGCACGTTGAAGTACTGTTATGCCTGTACCTTTTGAATCTAGGTAGTTTACCATCCTGGCCTTTAACTGGGGAGCTGAACTAATAGAAAACCTGGTTATCGCCGATGTATACTAAAAAATATTCCCTTATTTTCACATCCAGCACCTATCGGATACCAAACTTGCGTAACTTTGCTATTTGTCTGTGTGAAATCATAATTTCCAGTACTTATGCTTCATTAACTTATTGAAAGTAATTTTCAGAAATAAATGTAGTTTTGGAGTCTTTAGGGAACTCAAAATTCTCTGTGGAAAAGGTTTAGACTCTGAAGAACTGCCATTTCTTTGGATTTGTGATTGATTGTTGAGTTTTATATAGAAGCTGAGGCTGTTTGGTAAAATTTTGGCTGCTTGTGTGGTACCCAGGAGAGAGAACTGTAATGTAACTTATTTATTGCTTGCCTTTTTATATCCTCTAAACATGCTGCAGGTGGTCGCTGGGTGCGATTATGTATGAAATGCTTATTGGCTACCCCCCATTTTATTCTGATGATCCAATGACCACTTGCAGGAAGGTAATATAAGTTGGCATATGGTATGCTTCGAGTTCGTTCCCCATAATGTTAACTCTATACTGTGTTCTTTCTAGTTAACTTTTTCTGTGGGTTTGTTCTGATTCTACTCATGTTACTGCAATTTAAGAGTGCCAAGAGCTAGCAAGCTACCACCAGTTTGGTTTTAAGTTAATAAACCAGAAACTTCATTCATAGACACTATTATAAAAGAAAATAAATAAATAAATAAATAAATATATAATCACCTCCCTCCTTTATGTCTAGTGGAAGAAGTATGCACTCATCTCTATATTATGCAGTGGATTGCCCTGCTAAATGAACTCAAGAGCAGATGCTTCAGACCCTACCTTTTCCCTGTTTACATGTCCAGTCCTGGTTGAGGACTTTGCTGTACATGTCACTATAGTGTTAGTAAGACCAAGTAAACCTAATAGCAATAATTCCTATGACAAGCCTGCTGTTACCACTTGCCAGCTGTTGGCCGAAGAGATGTAGATTAGTGATATGACAGTATATTTGCACAATAGTCTGGCATATCCATACTTTTGAGTTACTGCAACTGCATAACAATTACGATTTCAGGCATTTGACTGCTGTTACCTTGAAAACTGTTGCCTATTAATTGGCCCATCATCCATGAGCTGCCAGTACACATTCGGGAAAAAAATAAAATAAAAAGAAGGCTGGGAATAACCTGGACCAATGACCTGTTACTGTTGAAATAATTGTACTCTGATCCAAGGTTTATACGGCTGCCAGATTGTTCATTGGAGAAATCACTTGAAGTTTCCTGAAGATGCTAATTTGAGTCCCGAAGCGAAAGATCTTATCTGTAGGCTATTATGTGATGTTGAACATAGGCTTGGTACTGGAGGAGCAGGCCAAATCAAGGTACAATTTTTCGTGAATTAGCATCATTTAGTCTCTCTCTCTCTCTCTCTCTCTCACACACACACACACACACACATATATATATGAATTCAAACTCATTTTCATACTAGTGTACATGTGTCAGGCTCATCCTTGGTTCAAGGATATAGTATGGGATAAGCTATATGAAATGGAAGCAGCATTTAGACCAGAGGTTAATGGGGAGTTGGACACCCAAAATTTTATGAAGTTTGATGAAGTATGCTCTCATAACTTCTTTTCATTTCAAGCCATGTTCTCTTCTTTTTCTTCGAGTACTGAAAATATTTAACGCCAAGTACAAATGATCGTGTATGTTATTGATCTTCATAAGTATATGTTATGGTTTAGACCAATATGACAATTTCTATTACTCAAATGATTAACTGCTATTTTCAAGAGTTATTTTCTATTGCAGTATACTGATGTGATGCTTCTATCATATTATGTGCTTGTTTTAGCAGTGTGGGTCTTCTTTGGTCTCTTGTCAAGATGCTATCTAACAGAAGGCCTAGACTTCTCAAGAAATAGCTTTAAATCGCAAGCTAGTCTTGAATCTGCAATATAATAGTGAATTTAAATCTCTCATACTATAGTGCTTGCAGTTTGGTTATCTAAAAGCTTTTGGATATGTTTACCTTCTAACAATTATCACCTTTTTACTTCAATTTTATTCACGAATGCCAATTTGTTATGTTGCTTTTTTCGATAGCCTCATTCATGCAAATATATTCTTGATTTGTCAATAGATGAATCCTCCAACTGCAGCAAGATCTGGCTCAGGACCGTCACGAAAGGTTTGTCAATATAGATATACATTTACTTGTCAGTCTATCATAGCTGTGGTATTCTGGATATTTGATATTGTTATGCTTGCTTTCCTATACAAAATATTGAATGATATAAGCAGAAATTTCAGGTTTCGAGCATTAGATGAGCACATTTAGTTATTGGAAACTAAACACACACTTGGCTGATTTAATAGTTTAAATAATTTGGGTTTTCAGGATATTTTCAGACTCGATACTTCACTGGCTGCTTCTCCTATGTCTTAAAACATCCTTCTTTTCAAAACTAAGCCTTATATGTATAAATTTGGGATGGGCTATATGAATCATTTTTGTTAATTCTCTTCAGTTAATTGCTACATCAACTAGAAGATCACTTGCAACTAGATAGTTCTTTACGACAACAGGCCATTAATTTTGGCCTGATTCTCTCTTCTAATGTGTTCAAAGGAGATCGAAATATCCTTGGTTTTCTACATAATTCCAAAACTTCAATGGATTAAAATATCGTGACTAAGAAAATATGTTGTTGAGATAGCAAAGACTTGGTTTGAAAATCTCTTTCAACTTTCTTAAATACAAAATGCTCATCTAAATTTGCTTCTGCGGTATCAATCTATTGATTGTCAATATCATGTGTCTTCTTCAATTACTTTTAGTTAGTTCTTTTTGTGTTCAGTTGATGGTTATCAAGGCTTTTAACATTGACCTTAATGGTACCCTACACAGATACACCTAAATCCGAAGGATTTAAGTTTTGTGGGCTATACATACAAGAACTTCGATGCTATCAAGGCACTGCTTAACTCTTCGGGTGAGGATTATTTGTTCTCTCAACTATCCACTAGTTTACCTACTGGAGCTCTCTCTTCTATATAAACATGCATACTTGCATGATTTTATGTACATTTTTTTGTAACATTTGGAGACATGATAGTTTATGGCAGACCTAGGTAGGACCTACTTCAAATAAAATCAAACGATGTTCTCCTGCTAAGACATCATTTGGTTCTCTTCTGAACTTTTGGTAGGAATAGGATGGTCAAATATACTTAAATGGTCATATCTTTCATTTTTGTTGAGCTTCGTCAATGTAAGCAATGCTTGGCTCATTGCACTCCCTCCTCCATGAATCCCAAAATTGCAACCTGTTATCTTCAGTACAGTGCAACTTCTCTAAACCTTTGATGAGAGAGGGTGATTTGAATATCATCCATGAACCTTTACAAACAAGTTGATTCATCCCTTTAAGGGATGCTGCTTTGCGATTGTTTCCCAACTTTAATGAAAAGCTATGCAGAACCATTCTCTGACTGAAACTGTATGATTCGTTTTTTTATGGCACGATTTACCTTTTTGGCATTCTAATAAGTTGAACCCGAGGAAGAAAATAAAAACCTGCGTCGCAAACAAAATCATTGAAATATCCTAATCTGGGTAGTGAGAAGGATTTTATGAAGTTTTTGTATACGCATCAACCTAAAATGGTATGCATTCTACATTTAGAAACCTCATGTTTTTCCACAGTACTCTAATTCTGAATTGCTTCAATCATTCCAGATAGTAGAAGTGCATCACCAAGTCGGCCATCAATTGATTCCATATTTGGTAAGACACATGTTTCCAGAACATTTGTTTTGGCAAATGCCAGTGTTCAAGATCTGACATAATGCATTGGTTAGGCGATTCCAAGGGGGGCCAAACGAGGAAAGGAACAGCAGAGGAAACAGATGTACAGATGATTGCAGCAACAGAGGATGCAATGTTGCCATAATAATATAGTAATGCATTAGTAAACAGGAAACCTTGTTGTGGGACGTGTTTAATGCCTGTATATTTGTGTAGGTTGCTCGCCCCTATTCAGTGTTTCCTTTAGATGGCTGCCTCATATAATGCAAAACCATCATTCAAGTGTATAGTAGTGCTTGAGAAACATTCGAAGGTTCCAAAGTGGGTTAATTTGTAGGGTGGTCTTAAGGTTATAATAGTAGTAAAGTGTGTAATAGAATATCTAGAATAGGTCGTGTGGTACCTTCATGTAGTTGCTGCCCAGGTTGTTTCTCTCGTGGCAGTTTCTGGTGAAACATTTGAATGATGTATGATTATCCTTTTGCTATAAGCTGCTTTTGAACCTTTTTAAGTTATATGCAAATTGAAACTTACATTAGGTCAATCTTTCTCAAGTTTTGGTCACCAAGTCAAGGTTTATTTGTTATTTTGTGGAATGGAGTGACACTTCAACAAGCAATTTATACCGGGGTAATTTTACCTGGTTGGAATTGATCGCCTGCTCACTTTCAGGTTCTTTTGCCACATCGGTAGTGAAATTTTTTTAATAGTTCACCGGGGGCAGGAGATGAGGGCGTAGATCAAAATTTACAATGCAATAGACCAGCATACGGAAAATGATGTAATGATTCTTACTCTTAACAATATCACTTGAAGCCGAATCATCTTGAAACCCGACCAGTGCAAATCTTGAGACGTATTATCATATTCATCATATCTGATCAATGATAATGACTATGCCCATGTCATTCACCTGAATGAATCCATCCAGTCAATTTTCTTCAAGAAAAACTTGGGGCTCGTTTGTCATAGCTTTTGCTTCTTGTAAAAGATCTTTTGGAGGAAGCTATTGTAATTTTTGTTTGAAAACTAATAAAAGCACTTGCTATTTTGAAATTGCTTTTAGAGGAAGTCACTTTGAATCAACTTTTTGTAGAAGCTCGTTTAACTATCAAAAGTATTTTAACAAAATTAGCCAAACAGGTCTGAAAGCAGCTTTTGGGTCTCAAAAGCTCATCTTGGTTTTTCCATGCCAAACTAGCCCTTAGACTAGAACACTGAACACATTACTCCTCTTCTCCCAATTTTTCCTGCTGCTCGTTTCGTTCTTTATCCCATCTGAGGATGCAAATGCCTCTTTGACATCTGGTTTCTCGTCTTGATCTTTGTTTTCAATACTCAAGTTCTCAAGAAGGTTAGAAGCAGCGGTGGCTTCATCACTATCTCCAGAGTCTTTTGCCAGATATTTAATGATTTCTTCAATATTTTCTTTGAAGGTTTTGCAATCTGGAACGATGACAAGGACATCAGTTGACATTAAAACTCTAAAATGATAAATAAAATCTATTGGGAAGAGCAATATTCTCCAAAAATGATTATTGATGAAAGGGTTATGTTGGAGAGTTCAATCATGGAATCCACATGTACATTATGAACTCCTTTATGGATATCATAATGTACATGTAGAATTATCCTTGATGAAATGTCCACTCAACCGACGGCAGTCATTTTATATGATATTTTAGTGAACTAACGAACGCAAAGATGGAAAGCCATTGCCAATTAAATGAAACTTTTGTAGACAAGACAAGCAGATTAAATAGAAATATATATATGTATATGGTTTTAAGCTAGAATAGGCTCTCAGATGTTTTGGATGAGTAAAACATTATTTTCTTTGGATAATCTTTTACTCAACTCTTCAACTAAAAAAGTTATCACAATAAGGAACTTCCTCATCTTCAACTTTAATGAATGCCATTATACTACTTAAAAGTGAACCTTTCAAGCTTTGCAAAACAAGTGCAAAGTGATTGGTGGCTAAGACAATTAGCTAGTCTACGAGCTCGAGTGACAAAG